ACAGCAACTTGTCTGTTCCCCTTCTCCAATTCCCCAGCGCTGTTCCCATCCCCCCAATTCCCCAATAAAAATCTTTAAAAAAGAAAAAGGCCTGAAGGAGATACTACAAAATGACCATGGTGATGGGTGGTACAAAAGGAGAAACCATGGATGATGTTTTTCTACTTTCTACTTTCTGTATCTTCGATATTCTATTTTATCTCATTAGGATAATCTCATTATGATAATTCAATATAACTCCTTATATTTTACCTCTTTACATCTCCTTAAATTAAATCTCTACACATCATATATTAATTACTATCTGCTTTCGTGTTTAAAAATACCATTTCAGGATCAGAGGTATAATTTTGAGTCACTGCTCAGTCGTTCTAGTAGTATGAATTTGATGAAGCTACTTAACTTCTCCAAGCCTCAATTTTCTCATCTAAGTAAACCACCTCACCAGGATTAATAATCTCCTATAAAACACCTAGCTTAGTGCCTACCTCATACTAGTGCTCAATTTACATTACTTTCCTTTTCAATGTTTTTTTGCTATGGATTGAATTCCCATAAATTAAGAAGACATCACAGATTAAGTACTTTGGTTAAGAGGCAATCAATTTATCTTAAGAAAAGCTTCCTCCATCAAAGGAATTTAAAATCAACAAAGAAGCTGAGGAAGACATCTTTATTAAATCTCAGTAATCCTTTCCTCTTAGCCTGAATAAGACCTCAGAAGTCTTCTTAACACAGCAGCCCAGATAGCCAGAAGGAGTAGCCATGAGAGTAAAAGCCTATTTGTCATCAGCAGCCAAGGCCAAGAGATTCTTAAGGAGCTTCTCCCAGCACATAGAGCACAACACCTGTGACACAGGAGAAGGATGAATTCTTTTCACAGGTTTGCCAAAGAATTAAATGTATGAATCGATTCTAGTTCACCTAATAAAACATTTTAACAATGTAGATTTAAAAAAAAAATAGATGTTTACAGCGTTAAAACTTGTTTTGGTTTCTTTCAGTATTTCAGAAAAGAAACATGCAGTAAACCTTCATGACACTGGATTTGGCAATGGATTCTTAGCTGTGATAAGAAAAGCACAGCAACAAAAGAAAAATTTGATAAACTGGACTTTATCAAAGTTAAAAACTCTTGTGTATGAAAGAACATCATCAAGAAAGTGAATCTACAGAATGGAAGAAATATTTGCAAATCATCCAATCAGGGTGTAATAGCCAGAACATAAAAAGAACTCCTGTCACTTAACAACAAAAAGAAAACCGCATTAAAAATGGACAAAGGACTTGAATAGACATTTCTTCAAAGAAGATATACAAATAGCTAAAAAGCACATGAAAAGATGATCAACATTATTAGTAATTAGGGAAATAAAAAAATCAAAACCAAAATGACATCCCACTTTACAATTGCTATGATGGCTACAATCAAAAATAAAAAAACAAAAAATAGAAAATAGTAAGTGTTGACAAGGACATGGGGAAATTGGAACCCTCCTACACTGCTGGTGGGAATGTAAAATGGTGCAGTCACTGTGGAAAACAGTTTGGCGGTTCCTCCAAAAACTAAACAGTATTG